ACACCTGGCCTTTCTCCTCGTGACTTGTCTCCCCGAGGGCTTCTGGGATTAAAGAGCTGCAGACAACATCAGAAACTGAGAGAAGTGTGGTGTTGTGCTCTTAAAGACTTTGTGTCCCTCAAAGGGCTCATGGAGCCTTGTTCCACTTTCTCCTGGTCAAACCACACATATTTATTCTTAATCATCACAAACTTTCTAAATGTGCAATTGTTACTAAGATTTGTGCAAAAATCAATAAAGAAAAATCACCACAGAAAATTCTGCTATGCCTTGAATCAGCAAAGGTGGCTGAACGGGAAGTGTTTGCCAAATGCCTAGAGAACAACCCTTTAATTGATGAGATTATACAATCCACTGTTATTATGAGGTCCTTTATTGTTGTTTTATTGGGTTTTGGTAATCAAATATAGAATGAAGGCAATAGGTAGCTTTCAGATTCTTCTGGCATTTTGCCATCGTCAGGCAGTAGCAAGATCTTTGTGATTTTATTTTATCCATTTGTAAATAGAGGCTTTTGACAGCATTTGTTTTCACCTTCCAGTACATTTCTTACCTATTTCTTTTTTCTTTTTCTTATTTTTTTTAAGTTAAGGAGATTTCTAGTTATTTTCTATGTCTTTGCATGGTGGGGTGATAGGTGATGAGGTTTAGGTAGGGGTTTTTGGTCATGTTTTTGTGCCTACATGGAGGCTTCATCATCTTATGAGATAGTTATCTCTTTGGCAGAAGAGTCAAAGGCAGAAATCCAGCTAAGTAACTCTCCAGTTATACCCAGCTTCCCAGATTCATGAAACACCACATTCATATGAAGTACACAAACAGACATATGGGTGGAAAATACCTGAATAAAACAGGAAACTGTAGAGGAAAATGCTGTTAGTGTGCAACCTGTGCAGAGATGCTTAAAAAGCCCTATCAATCAAAAACTCCACTGAGAAACAGAATTATACCATCATTCTCAGCTCACTTGTGTCCAGATTATGTTGTAATTTTTAAAGAGGACCTTGTCTTTAATTTCTGCTTTAATGAATGTAAAGTATGGCTCTTGGTAAAGTTTACATTGTTGTTCTGAAGCATTTTTTTCCCCTTATAGGTATACTGGTGGTGGTGCTACAAACAGAGATATTATTTAATATTAGCAAATTTCCTTTCTACATTTCTGTATGCAGTGGCAAGTACTCCATGCCAGTTATTTTGCTTTCAACTTTAATCCCAAGAGAGCTAAAATTCTGATTTTTGAAAATTTACCTGTTTTCCTTGGGCAATAATAAAGTTCTGACTATTGTTATGCTTTTCCCATGCTGTAGGTATGTTCAGAATATGAATGTGGAAAAAAAAAAAAGCCTGGTGTGACATTTCATATCCATCATAGACTATTAATATATTGTGTATTTTTAAAAGTGTTCAGCAATAACTTAAATTACTGTAGACATAGTTAAAGCAAAGAAGAAAATACTATTCTTCGTATATTGTTCTATCTGCATCCCATATTAAACACTAATTCAGTGAGAAAGTAAAATACATTTCCCTCTTAAAATATAGTTATCTTTTTGTGGATTTCCAGATCTCATCACCAAGACAACTGCGGGTAAATTTTCATAACAATCTAAGTAATCAGTATTTATGTCATGTACAGTATGTCCCCTGAAATATGGATGGACTTCTCTGGCTACTGCCACCTTTGCCTCTTGCACTAAAAAATTGCTAACAGAACTGCATTTCTGTAAAGAACACAGATATTATATTTTTGCCCCAAGGAAACAAAGATCTGATCTTGGATGTAATTAATTTTCTTCAGCCTTAAAGGTATCCAACAGCTGTTTAGCTTTAATGAGATGCTGAAGCCCTCATTTTTCAGTAGAACACTTTTCCAAGAATGTTTCTTTGAAACCACTAAAGTTGAAGTGCACACAAGTGCATTTCCACTCTGCCACACTGTTAGTGACATGATGGATGTTGTTCTGCCTTTATGCTGTTATAGCTGAAATAAGATGAGCCTTAACAACATGAAAAAGAAATAAGAATTTAATTTAATACCAGACAAGCTCTTCACTAAAGACAAAATGGGGAAAAAAGAAAAAGATCATAAGTAGATAAGTGATTAAGTTGGCAAGAGGATTTTATCTTTTAACTTAATTGTTCTACTGGATTACAGAATTATTGAGCGAGTCTACCTATTGTTTTCTACAGAACTCAAACAAGGGGCACCAAAGGGAAAAGAAAACAAAAACTAAGGAAGAGAAACTTTTCAAAGCACAGTTTTTTTGAGCTTCAAGACTTTGCAAGCCTGTAACAGTGTGCCTGTGTTAAAATTTTTCCAAATTTTCTTGAGTAACATGAGGTCATTTCTGGAATAAAAGTTGTCTTTCCTGACATTCCAATGAGGAATTAGTGTGTTTTGGGAGACAGACAGATCAGTTATTTTCATTATCCTCAGCTAAACCAGGATAATTTATAAAACAAGGACAGGACATGATGTTAATTACTCCTCCCATGGGATACACCATCATAAACCATTTTTGTTTTGTGTTTGTTTAGGTACAGCTCCCCATGCATCTGCCTGCTGTACATGATTCCTTACCCCTGACTGGGAGGTCAGCTGGGCTGCGTGCAGAAAGTGTTGTTCAGAGTGAGCAACAGTGCCTGGCCTTGGCTCTTGGTGAACTGCCTGTCATGGAGCTTTTTGGTGTGAAGTTTCCCTTCTTTTTTCAAATTCAAACCTACTATGTAGAATACTCCTTTGCCCAAGGACTATTTCACTGCTTATACTAACGGGTAAACTGAAAACTGCAATACGTTCACTTATCACACAACTCTAAGCCATTTTACATGAAATTAAAAGGCAAAAGGGAATTGTTTCCTAAAAAATAATAAATAAGGGTTAACTGCTGCTGTCAAGTACCTGGGTGTAAATCTGGAGTGAACTCACTGAGGTAAATGGGTACCTTTGGGAAATATTCTGTATATGTGGGTGCAGAATTAATTTTTTTATTCTGAGAAGTCTACTCTTCATTTCCAGAGTGTTGAATGCTTCCAAAAGAATAAGTGAAGCCTAATAGTACTCCCTTCAACTCAACTGTGTTTGCATGGTCCCCGTTCAGAAGATCTTTAGTGTAAAACTGAATTCCAGCCCACATTACACAAGGAGTAAAGGGGCGTTGGGCTGGCACATTCATAGGTTTGTTTTCTCATACCATGCTGTTTTCTGTTTTTGAATGTTTCTCCTTGTATCCAAGATCAGGCTGAGCTATTAACTGAAAAAAATCATGTTGGAAAGGATGTAAAACCAAAGGCTATATATGTATATACAGTATGTTTAAAGCATTTTATTTTTATATTTTGAATGCTCTAAATTAATAAAAGACAAATTATAAAGCATTTTGCTTTAGTTTTTGAAATTATCTTAGCATTGTCTTCTCTTTGGCCAAGTACTGACAATAAAATGCTGCAACAAGGAACACTTGCCTTAAAACCATAAACTTTAACAGAGCTAGTTTTATTGATTTTTAGCTATGAAATAGCATAGGTATGAAAAACCACCATTGCCAAATTCAGACAAAAGAGAGGCTTATTGAGCATGTTAATACAGACATCCTTGAAAGTGCTGAAAACACATTTCTATTTTTAGCTTTTTGTTGCTTTTCCAACACATTAAAAACACTTGTGAGATGAGACTTCACATGGGAACTGCCATTTTCAGGTAACAATGCAGAAAGGTGCCTCTTTAGGATTGCCAAGGAAAAGGTTTGTCCCTCCTTCAGAGGAAGAACATTATTGCTAACAGAGTGAATGCAGTGTGGGGGAGATACTGAAATTTTGCAAGATATATGCTTGTTTGATATTGAACCAAGTTTGATAGTGAAGATATTTTTATATTTTAAGAGAATGATGTGTGATTTTTAATTATTTAAGGAGTTTTTAAAGAGAAAATGCAGAATGGCACAACTGCATGAACAGAAACTACGTCTTGAGTCAGCATAATAGAATTTACTGTATTTCACAGAGTTGGAATGGCTAGTAAGAATGCAAGTACATCCCTGGAATATTTATATTTACAGTTACTGGGAAAAGGAAAAATTTTAGCTTCAGAGCAACATGTTTTTATCTACAGAAAGGTGCATTTTTTTGAGGTGTATGGCTAGCTATGTACAACTGCAGATAGGCTACCTTGTTGCACCATTCCATGGTGGAAATGAAAGGCTAAAGGGGCAGTCAGGGTGCATTGAGCATTTTTATCACAGGACAGATCTTGTGGGATAGTATATCAAAGTGGATAAAAAATTTGCAGTAAAGTCTCATACGCCTAAAATGACTTCTTTGTGTTAATTTATTTATTCATTTATTCTATGAATCCCATGTTGGTTTGATTTTTTATGCAACTTGATGCATTCTAATTACTTTCAGTATCTTTGATCTGAATGAGATTTATATAATATATATGGCTAAGAACAAGTAGGGTATTTTGCAGTATGCATGTTTTTAAGGTTGTGGCTACTTGTGCAGTTCTTTTCTATCCAAACTCCGAAGAACTTGAAAAGCTCTTATATGGATGCTGAAATCATACTGGGCTGAATTGAAACTGGACCCAAGACTCACTGAAGAGTTGCAGAGTATGGATCATTATCTTAATGTGGAGTAAATGGAGCTGTCAGTTTACATTAGCTTAGTATCTGCCCCCCCAGGATTATTCCTTTTTTTTTTCTTTAAAATACCCTGAAAATTTTTATTTTGCCATTTCAGCTGAAACTTTTTAAAAAGTATGCAATTGCATAGGATGATTCTGTGTCAAGAAATTTCAGTGTGTCCTTTGAAAACTCAGTCTTAAGTCTGCTTTATATTTTCTCTTGGTCCAGTAAAACAATTACAAATGTCAAGTGCTATTTAATTATGCACTTACAGAAAAACATGTACTTAAATGTTTTCTTGGATCAGGACCTAGAGACCATATTTGTTTGGAATTGTATTAACATCAGTGCAATTTGAGGGTATTCAACACCATAAAGGATAAGAATCACTTTTGCTTTATTACAGGGTATTTTAGAATGCATGCAATTTTAAAGAGTATGCTTTTTCAGAAATGCTCCTTGTGATTAACTGCGTCCTGAAGCCATGCATAAACATATTCGTAAACCAAAAGCATCACTGCACCACCTGGAAGAAAAGATATTATTTTACTACATAGAAAATCCAGTATTTGCAAGATATTATAGAGCACTTCTAGTGTAACATAAACAAGAATATGGCAAAGCCTTATTTACAAAATGGATAAGTCTACTATTTCCTGAGTTCACTAAAAATTCACCAAATCATAAACCATACCGGTTTTACTTAATATTAGATCATAAAGTTGATATAAATAGCTCGTATATTAAATCAAATTCATTCTCAGTGTGATTTTTCCTAATACTTTTTCAAGATTAATGTTTTTCTTTGTTCTTCTAAAAGTGACACTTTTAATCTGAATATATGTATATTTGTGTGCCTGTTTAAAAAGATTTGGCCATGAAAGAGCAGCTTGACTGGTGGAATGGCAAAATTTCATCTTCAGGATGATAAGGACACTTCCAGGTATGAGTCAAGAGAGGTTTTTACCTGTTTTTTCACCATGTCTAAAGCAGAAAATCTTGGTGTGGAAGTGAGTATAATCTTTCCTGGCTACAAATCCACAGGCAAAGTTTTGATCTAATGAAATGGCATTATTTGCTAGAATTGGTAACAGTATAAAATCCCAGCTTGAAAGCCATAAAATATCTTTACTGTTAGTGAAGTCAGACTGTAACTGGGCTGTATTACTATGTGAGATAAAAAAGAGAACATTTCAGAAGGTATATATATAACTAAACCGATAGAGAAGCTTCTAGTTGGAGAACTGGATAAAGGGAACCAGGCTGCATGATTAAAAATATATTATTTGTGGGTTCCAGCACTGGGGCATAAATATCTTCTTGCCTTTGCCTGTTGGTTCAGTTGGTGGCTTGGAGTGGCACCTCTAACAAATGAGGCTTCTGCTGAACTGGGCTCTCCTTTCTAGGGATAGGCTAAGACAACCAGGCACATGAATTACTACATGAATTTCTCCACATCATTCGTCCTAAGGAACCATCGCCAGACTTGAAACTCTCTATGAAAAGGAACTCACAGGAAGCTAGACGGAGCAGATGTTTGCAAAAGGTTTTGACCAACAAACAAATCATAGACAAAATGTCTAAGATGTGATTTGAACTCAAATCAAGGCTGATTCCAAATCTCATACTGTGTGATCTATTTGTGTATCTCTTTTCCTGTAAACACTCACATGCTGGAAGAAGGAATTACCTTCCCAGTCATAATAAAGACTGTATTATTGTTTCATCAGAAAGCTAAACCTATATGTTAGTTTAGCCAATATAACTACAGAAGTATTTAGAATGAAGTTCACATGTAACTGACTTTCTGGATGTGGGCCAGAATGCATAGTCATTTGTAAGATGGAAAACTTTATTCCAAAATCTGCTGTGCTAAGAGGTACTGGGAAAGCTAAACACTGCCTTCTCTTTGTCTTGTATGTAATCTAGTATCTTTGGAGTATGAGGGAAAAGGCTTTTAGCTCCAGAGCTCCTTGTTTCTCCTCCGCACCTTCCTCGCCCTGCACAATAACCAGGCATGGTCTAGTACTCAGCCAGATGGATTGGATATGCAAACATTTACAGACAAACCTAATGCCTCATTTATACTGCAGAACAGGCTCTGTACCTACTTGCACTACCTATGTGTGTTCTTGCATATTAAACAACCAGCTTGAACAACTGGAAACACAATTTCATGGGAATGGGATACTGCTCAAATTGGGGCTTCTGCTCTTTTTGATGCAGACTGCCTTCATGGGCTGACAAAGTCTGAGGGCCCAGTGCTTTGCTTTCATGATTAATCAAAACCAGTCAGGAAAAAAAAAAAAAAACACAACTCTAAAAGGAAGATACAGCTTTCAACCACTGTGCTCCCACATTTGGAGTAACAATTACTAAGAAGGGGTCAAGCAACAACCCCAGTTTTAAGACATCCTCATCCTTTTAGTTTTCCAGGGCCATACAAGTCTCTTCCCAGCTCTGCTAACAGCTTTTTAGTGTCTGCCCCCATAGAGCATAAGAGAATAAAGTAACTGGAATTTGATATGCTTGGGCTGTGCCTTGACTAGTTGAGTGCATTTTATGGCGAGACTCTAACCTGCATTTTAGGCTGACTTCACATAGGTATGGAATAGTGCTAATGGACTCAAAATATCACATAAGAAGGAATAGGAAACTTAAAGAAACATACCAAAAGTTTTACAGTTCTGTCATTTGCATGTGCTTTGGCTTGTTCATAAATAAAACAGTTGCACAAACCAGCATTTAATTGAACCTGCAATTCTCTGATATATATGTGTAAATTATTATTTTTAGACATATATTTAGCCAAATTCATCTGTGATACTACTAGATGATGCAATTTTAAAAGGAAATCATTCAAACTGACAGATATTTTGATTCATTTATTTGACTGATAATTACTACATTTTCTCAAGAAACTGTAAAAATGGGAAGAGAAAGCCAGAACAAAAGCAAAATAGAAATGACAGAAGGAAAATTACCTGGACCGAGCCTCATGATCTTGGGAAGCAAGCCTTTGTACAGAGCCAGAAATCTGTAGCAGAAGAATAACAAACAAAACATTTCAAACAATATTCTTGCTCTAAAAGAAGAACGGAATTGTAGCATATGTTTGTTAAAATGCTGGCAAAGCACTTAGAGGCAATTATTTGAAATTACACATGTTCAATAGCAGGCTGTATCTGGATTTTAACATTTTACAGAGGCAGATCAGATGAAGAGAAAAAGTTAATCAATGTTCAGTCACAAAGGCAATGTTGTGAGCCTAGCCAATCAGAAATATGACTTTAATCAGTGAGATGGGTTTACTTTCAAGACAAGTCTGTTAACAACAGCTGCATATAGAGACAAAATGACTGATATAATTGAATATCAAAGCCACAACTCAGTCACCACTTGAGAAATGTTTTTAAAAGTTGGAATATGTTATTACCACAAGGATCTGTCCCCAGTTTAATTATTTCAGCAATAATTTTAAAGGTAGAGAGGCCTGCATTTTTAAAATTAAATTAAATAGAGAAATAGTCTGTTTTTTGTTCCTATTTTCCTTTTGCAAAATGAAGAATTGAAAAATTTACACACATGAGATATATGAAGCATTTACTTGGGGAACATAAATTTTGACAATGTAATAATCATTTTGTAAGTCACTTGTAGAAGTTCATATGTAGTAGGAAGATATGTCCTTGTAATTCTAAAATAAATTTTCAAAATGCTACATTGGGTTCTTTTGATATTCAGGGTGAATTCAGGGTGGCTTAATGGTCCTCATCAAATCTGAAATACAACAACGTGATTTTATGGACCCATACAAACTAAAACAGAGGTCTGGACATTTATTAAAATAAGAATGTTTTACCCTTCCTCTTTATAGACTGTTGCCATAGTTTTAAAACAGGTTCTGTACTTGATCTCTCCAGGAACTGGCTGTGGTCCTTGAATCCTACTTTTTGCAACATCAAAAGGAATGTTAATAATTGAGGCTATTGTTCCTGAGACTAGCCCAATTCCAAATTTCCTCAAAAACTCCAAATTTGGATCCTGCAAAAAAAAAAAAAAAAGAAAAAAAAAAAGGAAAGAAAGAATAAAAAGGGAAACAGGAAGACCTGTGCAGGTTAAGCACTATAAAATAATAAGCATTTAATCAGAAAACTCACACAACACACTCATGTTATTTTAGCGGAACACATTAGGATTTCCTATGCTGGAACTTGTTTTCTTGACAATCCTATTGGCTATGTTTTTACACATGGTCTAAATTGCTGAAGTACACATTTCCTCACACAGGATTTATAAACACAGTTCATAAAGAAAGACTGGTATGGCATATGGGGATGATTTGTATAATTGGGCTTCACAATGTACTTAGTATTACTGTATCAAAACAGGAGAAATCCAAGCACACTATTAGCTAATTGGCCAGAATATTTTACAAATGACAGCAACTTCCACCATGAAGCCTACTAAAACACTCATTTGTGTGTTGGACCCCCAAATGCTAAATTAAATAAAGACTAATCTCAGTCTGCTGCCATTCCCCTCCAGGTTTTTTACATTTATTTTCACATGTAGCTGATCCACTGTACTGAGAAGTGCTAGCTTCCTGTTATTAACAATCCAACTCGGCACAACGGCAAGAGAGCTCCACGTTCTGCGCATTATAAACGGTGGTAATTCACTCAGCTAATTGGCTGAAGAATTTACAACAGATTGTTTCTGAACCCTACTATATGCACACGGTAAAAGTTAGAAGTGCATCTAAAAACTTTGCTTACTCGCAGTTCACAGTTCAACTGGGTTTTATTTGATCTTTTAGAAAGACCTCCTACTTTGGCATTTCTATGACATCAAAGAACCCAGAGTTTATCTGGGAGTCAAAGTCCCTTGAAGCAGGTTTAATCCTATTTCTCTAAGTAGTGGAAGTCACAGGCAAGCGTGTTCCAGAACATTTCCTATGCACATAATTTGGTTTTGCTATTGGTTTTTAACAGAAGGACACTTTTTTGCTACATCAGATTCTTTATATGCAGCTTACTTTTGTCATGAAGGTGCTTTAATTATAGAAAATCATTATTAAAATAATAAATGATCTTGCTGTGTTATAACGTTGGCACAATGTTAAAATAAGACAGTTTTTTGTTTCCTAAACCTGTACGGTTTTAAATGAAACAGAAACCAAGAAAGAAGTTTTTGTTTCCAGATTAGCGATAAGAAAAATAAATTAAAACTTCCATAATATACATTGAATAAAGTCCATACAGGTGTTAAGAAGGAAATGTCAAATAATCAGAGCTCTTTATTATGTGCAGAAAAACTCATACCTTGATTTCAAAAAACATGAAACATACTGATAATAACTTAAAAATTTGAATTCTTGGTGGTACAAGAATTGTAGCCCTTTTTTAGCAGACCTTAGCAGAAAAATTCTTTTCATTCTGTACATACAGTGATTTAAATGTAAATAGAATAAAGCCAATATTTCTGGTATCTAGAGAAGCAAAGAAGACCCCTTTTGCCCATTTACAAAACTGGACTCTAACCAAACATAGCATAGTCCACACCAGCTTTGCTATAACTTGATTTTTTTTTTATCATAAACCTCATGGGAAAGGTTTTTCTATGATATTAATCACTGTAATATCTGGGCAATTTCATTAGTATAAAGATTCAATATAAATAGGGGTGTCAATTTTTTTTTTTCTGAAAGCCAAGCTCAGTGGCTCTGAGGTTATTCCACTACTCCTTCTGATCCAATCTTCTCCTAAATCACCTTGGCTTGCTATTTCTTCAAGCCCATTGCACCTCATCTGCTTTTCACTCTATTCCTACACAGAATTTCTATGTTGGCACGGATCTGAAAGCTACTAAAATAAAACTATAGTCTGCTATTTCACTTACCCACCAAGCTGAACAGCCCATTTGTGTTTCCCATCTCTTCCTTGCCTCTAGGAGTTCAGAGCCCCTTTCTCTTACAAGGCAATGAACTGCTCAGCACCCCGGGTCTGATGCTGCGCCCTTGTAACAGGAGGCACATCTGCAGTGTGGGGCTGGCAGTGCCCAGCTTGAAATGAGTCCTGCAGTTGGCCACATGTCAAAGGGAAGGGGGCTTTTAACAGGCGTGAGGAAATGTGGCAGGTTGAGAAATGTGGCAGCCACTTGGAGGTGGTAGTAAGCAAAGGTTTTAATGAAACAAATTTTTAAAAGAAAATCTAATTATGATAAAAAATTGCAAAGCTGCTGGACACCTATGAAATGCACTATAAAAGTAGATGCTATCTGAAAAATAATTTCATTGCTAGGGCAGAGGCGCAGCTGCTAATTCTCTATGGTTGCTACATTAGTGGCCACTGAAAGAAATCTGGCTTATTCCATTTTCACAAAACAGAGCACAGGGTTGGCTGTAAATGATCTGTTTAGCAGAATAGACTGAACATATGAGAAATTATTCATTATGGACATTTACAACCCACACATGTCATTGATATCATTTGACCACTCAACCTACAAGATTTATTGTTTTTGGCAAAATAGGCAGAAAACATCCCTAACTGGGATGCAAATTTAATGCACAGTTTAGCTGACAGCTAAAAGGCTAATTCAGAGATTTTAATATATTTTTCCACTTATGTTACAGATGGTGGACAGCAAATAGTCAAAATTATTTCACAAGTGTAGTATTCTAATTTCACAATTTTTATATATTATCATTTTTATATATTTGTCAATATTACAAGACTGGCTTTAAGACTTTGTTTTCTGGCAAAATATACAAAATTAACAAACCAGATTTTGTAATTAAATCAAGTATGTGAGAAATCTAGACAAATTAACAACTGTTAAGTATTTTTCAGACTAACTGCAAACCAGCTTCTACCAAATTCCTTGTACAGGTTTGATATCTCTAAGCCTCTAGTACCTGCCTACTGACAGAAGAGATTTGTTACAGGTCATAAATTATTGTCAAATACTTCCATTTAGCAGTCACTGAAGTGAAATGCAATGCATGTAAGTACCTGAGACATAATGTTGGCTAGCACCAGCCAGATGAAGCCTGATCTATGTCTTCCTAAATTCAGGGTAAGTTTTGCATTGATTTTAATGGAAGTTTGATCAGAATTATTGGCTATATGTCTCTGTACAGACTGTCTATGGCACTGACACTGGCTGGCCTGGGGAGTGCTCTTAGCTTTATCAGCACTACAGAACGCTACCGTGCAAGCCACCATGTAAGGCACTGTGCAGTGGTTAAGCATCAGGCAAACCCCACTTTTTTTGCAGTTAATCCTACACTGATTAAATTGCCTTTTCATTTTGCTAATATTTGAGGACAGCTGGGTCACTGACTGACATTGAAGTAATTTCTCTTTTGTTTTCTACATATATTTAAACCCGTGTTGTAGATGTTAAAATTTTTCTGCATCATACGAAATCTGTATGAAGTACCAATTTCCTTTAGATCATAAAGCTCTGAATCTTTCTAATAATGTAATACTTGCTTCCTATTTTTTAAAATCTGAAAGGCTAGGAAAGCATGCTTATGCCTTGTTTACTGTTCAACATGCTTACTGTTCAATTCCTATGCAAGAACATTTCCCATGATTCCCATAGAAGCTACACACTAGCCTCTGTCCTTACCTGCATATTTTCCTGAATTTTCTGCATAGTGATTATAATTTTTTAATCTTTTGATCAACACAAAAGTGTTTACTCCTATCTTAGTAACAAGCTGTTCCTGCGCCTTGAGTTTTAGAATGTGTGACTAAAGTGCACTGTAAAATATGCTTAGATACACTGTAAGGAACTTGTAGAAACTTGTGGGTCAGCTGCTCTTGAACAATTCAATTTACTGTAATAATCTGCAAATAAGAAGTGGAGGTTTTCTCCATTTACACAACGCTGCCAACAAAAATACCAGGCTACTCAGAAGTGCAGAAAAAAAGAGAGGTGTTACTTCATATGGGAATAGAAACCGATCCCTTTTGATGTGAATTGCACCTTCTTACATGTATATCACTGCACATTACACCTGTGACTGTTTAACTGTCATCATCTAAAAATCACATTAGTGAAAACAGACTTCAATAAGTAGCATACTGGAATCATTAATAAACCATTAGTTGTTTCTCACACAGTCATTTCAAAAGTTGCTGATATTACCACGTTTTCATTTGTAAAATTTCCTTTTGTTGTAAAGGGAATGTTTGCTTCCTTTGTTATTTAAAGTAATATAGCACTATCAAAACTTCTTTAAGTGAAATTACAGCTATAATGATTTTTTTCTTTATATATCTTAATATATATATATATATTTATAATCTTAATTATAAATGATATAAAGTCCCTGTGCATGACCCTTTACATCCTCTTTTGGACTGTCTCTTTCTCATAAGGATGAAACTTCCCGTCATCCTTCAATACTAGGTTGAGCTCTCTTTTCAGTAAATAGGTCCTGTGCCTGGCCAAAATAACCTAAATCCTGCAGCTCAGCCACCTCTGCAAGCTTAGCCCCTATGTGAGTACTGACAGAATTTCTAGAAACTGATTTTTCTCTTCTAGGCCAGTTTTCCACAAAAAAAATTGCATACATACCCAACATAAGCACAACATGTCTGTATCTCATTCGCTGCCTTTTTGCACTGCTACCATGCTATAAAGGGGATTTCATAAAAATGATAATTCAAATATGAATACACTCAGTTTTGCTTAAAAAGTGAGAAGATTGAGTCCTATATTTGCTTCCATTAAAATGCTGTAGATTTCTGCAAAACAGAGCTAGGTTATTCAGTGTTGATCACTAAATACCACAGCTTTGCACAAAAAAATAGTGTGAATAAAAATGTCAAACTTCTTATCTGATTGTCTATTGCATTGTATGAAGAACTTACTTTATTGACTGGAAGAATGTTTTTCACATTGAAGTAGAATCCAAAGTAAACCATATTAAACACTCCGTGACGGCCCAGTGTTGCAGTGAGGCCTTTGTTGAGTCCTTGGGAGCCCAGACCACCGCTTTTAATGATCTGCTGAGCTTGAACAAAGCTAGATGGTTGCTACACAAGTTAAGCAAAAGAAGGAAGAGATCATCTTTACAAAAAGAAAACAATAAACATAGCATAATTTCCATGCTGTTGACAAACACAATGCTGCCAATTCTTATAATTTTATATTAAGTATCACCGTATTTGTTATTTTCCTTTTCCTGCGGCCAATAAAAACCACAACTTTATTTAAAAAAAGATTCTTCATTTTTCTGATTGCAGAATAAGATGAAAGCAGGACTTGAGTACAGTAAAACAGTAGTACTGTAACAGATTTTCATTTCACAAAAGACAAAAAGGAAGAAACTGTCTCATATCAGACAGAATCTGCCTGACTTACATGCACCTTTGAATTTTTTTGAATACACCATGATATTCAGAATTAGCTATTCCCCTTCTGAATATTTTACATTTTTAGCAGCTTTATAGAAACATTACTTTCAAAAAGTTGGTGAATAGAGTTTGGCTTTCTCCAGAGTAGAAAGCCAAAAAAAGCCATAAAGCCATAAAGCTCTGGGTAACCAAATCTATAATTAGAAAGGCAAAACATGACTTCCACTAGGAGGTTCAAACATGAAAATATAGAAGAATTTTGACTACACCACTGTGAATACCACTAATTTCAATATACTTATTTGTTTAATAGTTTTCCATTTCAAAATATCACTGTGGTAGATCCACAGCATCAGCCAAATGATGCTACTATATCTGACACAGCATATTACCGATTATTTAGGTGACTGATGAGTTTAATCTTTAATACAAAGATTCATTTTTTTTTTCATATTTTGCAACTAATATTATCCTGCTAATGCTCTGCATATATTTTACTGGAGTTTACTTTTCTATCTGCTCCCAAGATTTCAAGTCAGAATCTGTTCTAAAATGGAAATGCAAAACATGGATACTAGCAATGACATCCTTTTTACACTCCAAAAACGGACATTAGATCTTTAAGAAATAATACTGCAGCCTTCAATATTAAGGCGTCCCCTGGTATCCCCTGTCTTGAGTATGGATTTACTCATGCCTCAGAGGTGAAGCCTCTCACTTGCTGAACACCTGAGATGGGATTAATGAGCCCAAATATAGACACCTGCAATGTCTACACCTGACTTCCCTTTTCAGCCCTATAGTAACAAAGAGGACTCCCTTTGGCAGCACTTCCCTTTTACCAAAGGAGGCGTCATCATGTTAACTGACGAAGCCATAGAAGGCCTGCGGTTCATCATTGATGATGGAAGGACCTTAGGCAGAGGAATTTATTGTACAAACATCTGGAGTTAATGCACTTCACACAGCTGTTGACTCTTAATATAGACCTATGCAGTGGAATCTGGAGTCAGATTCTTCTCATCATAAAGCAGAAAAATGTATTTGTTTAATTAATCATAACTCTTATGTCAGGCGAGAAGATTTTAATCATCACACCAGCTTCTATAGCCAGTGAGTTATCCAAGGCTACAAGGAAAGTGAAGAAAAAAAGGAAAACTAAACAACATGGTGTTGGACTTCTTGCAGTCTGCTTTAACAAAAAGCCACCATCATTTTTACCCACAGCAATCCACATTACAAAAGGGCTGATACGTGATTTGTAGTGGCCTTCCTCTTTAAATCTCTCAGCCCTGGAAAGATGATCTGCTACCACAGAACAATTCAGCTGTCACTGCAGGGTGTGAATATTTGCTTTGGGGGTGTGCTGGAGTCTGGGTGTGAGTGTATGTGCTCATGCTCTTCCTTGTTCCTTTTAAACAAGATATATTTATTATTTCTATACAATAGTCAAAGAAATATGTGAATTGCATTAGGTTTCATCATGTAGTATGAAAGCTCCACAATGGGATAGGTACACACTTTACTTAAACCTTTTAGAAAAACAGTGCATGGTAATGCCTTGTGCTGTATAATATAACCTCTGGACATGCTCCTTCCAATGGGCTTGAGTTTACATGCTTTATTGTGGAATGTTCTTTAACATTTTCTTAATGAGAACTTGATGTCAAGGTATTAAGTCACTGGAGCTTTTTCTAATTTACAGCAAATTTTGAAGTTCTAACGCTTTGGAAAGATATATTAAAAATTAACATGTCCGTGATAGAACAATCTTCGTGATTTAAGAACTCAATTTTGCTTGGATTTTTTTCCCTAGAGCAAATAGTTAATATTGTCAATGTAACCTAGGTTTCTAGTAGGGTCCAAATACCATTCTGTCACAATTTTATTTGTATGATAATATACTAATATTTGGATTTTGTGAAATTTTGCATTTAAATTAAATTAGAGAATATTCACCTGAACAAAAACAACTCAGAATGCTTTTGGACAGTTGCTACAGTTCAATTGTTGTATTATTCTGAAGGTCAGCAAGGAAGGGGTGCTGTAACAAAAGAAAATAATTGGCTAAAATATACAAACTAAACCACTCCAGACTTTGGGATGGTTTATAAGTTTTGCAGTAGAGAAAAAATTAAAATGTATGAAGTTAAAGGATACATTGGTGTTTTTCAACTTTACAAGGAATAGTTTGTTCAAAATATAATGGTGGTTTGTTTATACTTAAAAGCTTTTTTTAAGCTGGGATAATTACATCTTCACAACTGTGAAAGAGAAAGATCCAGAATATCTGTTCACTACTGCTGGAGGAGTAATAGTTAATAATTTTTATCACATCATCTTTTTGAGAGACAGATCCCCTCACACATTGATTTTTCCTACTTTCAGTCTCTCTTCCAGGATCCTAAACTCCTGCTCTGCATTATTTATCTGTTCAGTTTTGCTGAACAGATATTTATCTGTTCAGCTTTGCTGTCCAAGTTTAAAAAATGTCTAGACTGGAGACTTGCAGCAAATAAACATGTCTTTCATATGCATTGAGAATTGAACAAGAGTATACCAAACATTTTAAAATTTATTCTGGAAGAAAGTGCTTTTCTGGATGAGTTATGGAGTAGGTACCAGTTACTCTATGACATGTGGAAATCAGCAGCTGTATTTTTCCAGAGTCTACCTGAGGAGCTTGGCCCCAACAGATTATGTAAATGGCCAGGTCATAAATCTCTTTACTGTGCACCCCCCAAAAGTGTTCAATTTGTGCAGATGAGTGCTACAAGGCATGCAAGTATTAACTCAGTCAAAACTTAATAGTAGAATATGCAAAAATCATGTCCCACCAGGGATTCAGCTAACATTTTTATGTGAATGCTTATGTGATTTGGCACTTCTACCATGGTACAGCTGATTCCTCAAAAGATTTTGAAAAAGATGGTTTGACAATTGTTATATTTAATAAATGAGAAAAGGAAAAAAGAACTTCATTACTGCCTTCCTTCCCTTTATCCTGGAACATGTTCTGCATTAAAATTAATAGAAGATAGTGCATTCCTGAGAACACTTGATTTTCATGAATCACTGTTTTCCAGTTTAATACTTTCCCCCTTTCAGCAGTACCCAGAATCGTGGCCAATGTTTTGTACAATTACTCCTTTGGACGAAACAATATTTGAATAACAAAACTCTGAAGTTGGGCAAGAATTTAAATTATCAATGTACTTGTTATATAACAATTTTCCAGTTTGCGCTAATAAAAGTGAAGTCTTGTAAGTAATTTCATCCAAGAAACATTGCATAAAGTACAGCAGCTGGACTCTGTCTAGGGCACAGGGCCGTGGTGTTTTATGCTAACTTCCAGCGCTCACTTGAAATCTGGAGCTTGCTGGGGTAAGTGTGCTGTGTCCAAGGGGCTCAGGTTTGCACTCCTGGATTGCAATTCCTCACAGTGCTGGGTTGCTGGCTGCTCAGGAAGGATGAAGGTGCATTTCAGGCACAGAATATTTACAGGGGAGGCGCTGATGCCTCTGACAACACTGCAGGGATCTCTGCATACCTGAGGGCATTGGCTGTTGGATCTCTTCCATTTCCGTTTAGCTTATGGGGAAATCATTTGCATTCACCAATATATTACAGACATTCTGCTCTAAATATGAACCTCAAAATGCAATATGCCCAATAAAATGGAAAAAGGAGAAGGAAGCAGTTTTCCTACCTCTGTGAAAGCATTCTGATTGGTCTGTAAGGTAACCTTCACTACTTCAAATGGGTTAACCACGACTGCCTCTGTCAACCCAGATCCCAAGCCAGCAACTGCAAATGCCTAGGACAGTTCAAATGAAAATTGAGTATTAAGGAGTAATACTTCCGCTACATCAGATTGTGAAACTGAGGGATACAATGCAAACTGCAAGACTACAGTAAAGCAGCAGTATTCTATTGCTAAACAACTTTAGCCCTTGATAGATGCTGACAGTTCATGAAGACAATATGACAATAGCCATAAACCATATTCCAAAACAATCAAAACAAAATATTGAAGCACTTCAAGTCCATGTATTCTCTTTTCAGCTGGAAGGGAAAATATGGTACCACATGATTGCGCAAACATGGAAAAAGTGGCAAAAGAATGTCCTCATGTTATCTTTGGGTGGACTCTGAATAATAACACAAATATAAGTGTAGTTATGCAGCACTGGAAAAAATAAAACCCCTGAACTGAGCATTAAGCACATAACACTAACATTGCAAGGACGAATTAACTCCATTTACTTAGAAGCTGGTGGCATTTGAGTCATAGATATGGAAATATTCACTGCTTTGCTTTCCATCATGGCAGAACATTTTAAGATTTTTTAAAACAAAAAATAGTATTAAAATATTTAGGTCGATTGAGAAAATTCAGAGAGGTTAAGTTTAACGATCACTTTACACATTTATTGCCTTCACTTAGCATCTCCAAACTCTCTAGGCGCTGAAAAAAAGTCCCAGGACCAAAATACATTATAATGAATCCATTTGCTGAAATTCAAAGATACAATAGTAAGGGAAAAAACAATAGTGAGAAAAAACTTACTTAATGCAGAGAGATTTGAGCAGGGACTCCTGAGAGCTCAGGAAAGACAGGAATGAAAAGTTAGAGGGGTAGTGGCAAACACCAGTCTTACTGCCTTTGGAGAAGAATGTGTTACCAACAAATAGAATTTTCCAGTAAGATAGGAACATTTCATCATCAACCATGAGATGGAAGCCAGTAGGAAGATGGTGATAATGTATACACCTGTCTTTCAATAATAAATATTGCCTTGCTATGAGGTCTGTTGAGGTACATAGAAACATTCTGCCTGGCTTACACCAGAATTCCCCTTAGTCGTCTTTTTCCCTCACTACTTTAGGACCAAAAATGCCTCTATAATAATAGTACTGCACAAAAAATATGAGGGATTTCTGATTCTTCTAAGCATTGCTGTATCTGTTCTATGAATCACAGCAGCTTTTGGGCAGCCTGTAAACATGCAACAGCATGTTTATAAGTTTTCAGCCTATTTCCCCCCCTGCAAAAAAAAGTGCTGGGGTACCACAGAACCTTGAATTCTGTTCTTTCCACTCGCTAGAGAACAAGTATCAGTCTCTCTATATACACCTAAGGATGACTACTGCTGAAAAATACCAGATAAAATAGGAGAGACTGCAAACAGCTATAGGGACAGTCGAATGACTAAGAGGAAGAGGAGACTTGCTTTAACCTGGCTAATAGAATTCCACGACCTTTCACTTACTGCAATTAAAGGGAGATGTAACTGGAAGCAAAACTCTTTTAAAGAGACTTGAAATTGCCAAAATCTTTATAGCACAGCCTTAAAAAGATCGTTTCCTAAAGTTGTGATGTCATCATCATGAAAAATAGATATTTACTATGATTTACGTTCTTACACCACAAGAAGCAGTAGCTCTTATAAAAAGAATTTTAGTCCTAATGCACAATGGCAGAATTAAGATCTACACATGAGAATGCAGATTACACGTGCAAGCAACATCTTAGCATTAAAACATTTCTGTGTATATGTACGACCTGCATTTTGTTTTTAAACCAAGGAAGTAGCAAAGGACTTCAAAGGAAGTAGCAATTTCTTAGCAATAATTGTTTCTTTTATAAATTTTTTAAAATAAGTCTGAGATCTTTATGTTTTCTATAGTTGTACTGTGCCTTGGAGAATAGCACTGTGAGATTGAAGTCTTAAACTGTACATGATGACATGAATAAATAAATATTGATAATGTTCAACTTTTTTTGTTATTTCATAAGAATTAAGAATGACAAGTTTATACATTCTCTTCCATGGTGGCTGTTATCCATGTTCATGAATGTTAAGATGTTGTAGGGAATTATTTTGAGGACATTTGATATAAAACATTATTTTCAATTTTTATGTATTCTTATCAATATTTTCTTATCAAGGGACAGGTCTGTTTTAAAAAACTCTGGATTGAGCTGGACCCTTTAATTGTGGGCTTCTTCTGTGGGAGGAAGCAGATGAGACAGACTGTTCAGCAGACACATATTATATCAGAACACAAAGTTCTGTATCCATACATACCAGCCCTGGTGGCAGTGATGCATATCCCAGAAGCTTCCTGTATTGTTCAAAGGTAAAAAACTGTGAATAGAAGATAGATTGAAATTGAATTGAAAAAAAATATTAGTTACTTATACAAATTAGTAAAAAGCAGACTACAATGGAGTTTCACTACCTCATATCCTGAGCAGCTGCACACAGTTCTGCAAAACAAACGTAAGCCACTTTTATTTCACACTTTCTGTAGCAGTGTTAGATGTGCAAGAGTAGACAATCAGGCTTCAGAACTGATACTGATTTTATTAGTGTGTCATGCATAATAGCAGCATAAGTGAAATTCAAGTAATGCTTTATCTAAGAGTTCACTTACATCATTTAGGACCAATTTAATTTTATAAACTTTTCCTCTGGCATTAACTTTCGTATACTAATGCAAATGTAGTAGCAGATATTACAGTTTTCCCAAGAAATCACCCCCACATCCTTATTGTAATGTGATGCAATTGCTTTTGCATTTCTCAAACACTAGTCTGCTTCTCATCAGAGATATAACTGTGTATTTTGAAGATGCAAAGTCTGCTATTTTTATAATCTACTGTCAACAGGTACATTTCTTTTCCTGTTCTCTCTTTACAAATAAATCTTTCACTCAATTGTCTGCTTTCAAACAGTGGCACTTCAATATTCTGAGCACCTGCAATCCCTTAGAGGATGTCTTGAAAGCTGTGCTCATGGGTGTTTGAATCTCCAGAAAAAAGTAAAATCAGCTTCACCTGCACCAACATGATGAAAGGCATTTACAAAGGCTCACTTTGCAACCTACCATGTCTTGACATCAAAACCCATTAGTTTTAAGAATAACTTCTCTGAATTCTTATAAAAATCATACATAATAAATGAGTGGATTTGTTCTTCCAAGAAGAAGGTTTGGAATAGCTCTGACTGCACTGAAGCCAGGAGGAAGCTTTCTGTTGGCACAGGCAAACAGACTTTTGCTGCCCAGCTCCTTGTCTGTGGACATGAAATCTAAGATGCATGGGTCAACTTATACTCTAGAGAAAGAGTATATGTGACATTTTACAAATTATTGGGAGGGTGCCCTCTGAAATACAACACACAATCTAGGTTACTATTTAAAAACCAACTCAGATTACATCATATTCAAAACAGGGCTACCAGGAACATTAAGGAGAACTTAGAGATTGCTTTAAGAATGAAGACTGAAGGAGAATGACTGCTTTCCTTGTTTAGTTTAGCAAAAGAGATGCTGCAAGCGAATGTAACACAAGGAAGATAAGTAACATAAAGAAACTAGGTGTAAAAGCAAAATATAAGTAGAATGTGACTGGAGAGCTGATGAAGCTTTCTTGCTTGCAACTAAAATAATCTTGAAACAGTCTTCCAATAAGAGAAATGGGGGAAAAATCTTTATGTTGTGAATGGGAGAGTTTGATAAGTTCATGAAGGAGATTACAGAACAAACCCCATAGTGTCTTAAATTCATATTCTGCAAACATTTTACTGAAGTCACTGGAAAAGTGGTCTAGTTGCTATCACAAAAGACAGATGTGAGTGCAGTGAAAATGATCCTCTAGCATGAGGGTGGCAGAAATTGTGGGCTAAAAAGAGTAGGTATCTGAATTCTGGGTAACACCAGAAACATTGGAGGTGTTATTCCACATAGTTTTCACACATAGAACAACACAAGGTCCCTAACCACAGCTTGCTATTTGTGAGCCCTGTAATCTGTCTAAGAAACATTCACATCTTTGCATGCAAAATAAAGTGGCTTTTACACAGCATGTCAGGTAGGATGGGAATGAAGAACAAAAACCTGTCACAGTTCCACCAAGACTGCATCAGTGCAAGTTCATATCTCCCAGTACAACAGCTGTCACATCCCAGTCTAGCAAAAGTAAATAGCCAGAACTTGTAACTTTCCTGTCTGCTTTCCAGTGTTGGCCTGTGACATGTGATTAGTTCAGAGCAAGCTGGTTCAAATGAAGATGGGATCCTTGGAAATTGGTGAATTCTGTGACCACAGAGGGGACTACAATCCCTCCACACAGCATCTGCTGATGCATGAGACAACCAAACTGTTTCACCACATGAGGAAGGCAACGAGCAAAGAGGCCAATGGAGATGTGGGAATCATAAGAAACATAAGGGAATAGAGGTTTTAAGACAAAAGAGAAAGACTGTGTGGCCTGTGCTGAGTCTCAGCCAAAGAAGACAAGCTCTGTCCCTCATGGTTCAGTACTACAGACCTATCAGAACAAAACAGCCATTCCATAAACCACGTGTACAGGAACATAAGTAATAAGCACCACATTTTCATTTGAACTTGTTTAGAACCTTGTCCTATGGCAAAGTCAATAAAATTTTTCAATCAAGACCTGCTTCAAATGAAAAGTCACTAGAATCATACCAAAACCATCTGAGAATTGGGTGTAAATGTGTTAATAATGCCACTGTCTTAAAGCAAGAGGGAATATGTATACACAAGCAAAATTGGGTTGTTAAATTCTGGAAACTGATGGGCTGATACTCTGGTCACTGGACAGGTATTTTTTTATATCCTCAGCTGGGATTATTATATCATTTTGCAGAAAAGGTCCTAGAACTGGGATCCAGATTTTGACTACCTTCCAAAGAGTGTTAAGATTGAACATTAACCTTGAAAGCATCTTGCAAATATGTTTAAAATTTTTGCATTGGCCTTGACAACAATCAAAAAAGAGAGAAGTGTTACTTTAGCTCTATCTTTTTGAAGGTATAATAGAGGTCTAACAAAGTGGGAGGGTAAGCTGCTTCACTGAACTAAATTAATTTCTTATTGTGATAAAATTTGCTTTATTCTCTCTCCAGCATCTTTCTAGTCATTGTTACCCTCTTAACCTTTAATGGAATTTCTGGTATTCCTTAATGTTTTCCATAGTGTTACAGATCTGTAAAATAGTTGTAATAAAGGCAGAATTACATTACCCAGCAATTTTTTTGGTCTTTAAAATGTTACCTTCAAATCAATAGCTTCCTAGAATCATAAATAAAATAACTACTTAATAATAACTATGCTTTAAATAATTTTTAAAAGAAAAAAATCACTAGCAATAAAATTTAATATAAATGTTGCTGGGTGTACTAGAGTGACTAGTATACATACAATTTTTCAAAAAAGAACGATTTCATACTGTGTCATATGATTTTATATACATCCACCTAAAATGTTTTTAAAAACACAGCATAATTTGTCTTTTCCTCTACAGTTGCATTAAGTTAATAGTTTTGTGCAAAAAAAATTCTCAGAATAAGCGTACTTAAAACATGCTTTTGTGTATATAGTAACCAATATTGTCCATCTGGCAAAGATACACTTTAATTGAAGTTACACAGAAAATAGCCAAAGTACTTACCAGATGTCTCAATAATGCTAAGATAAAAATATATGCTTGAAACAAGATGTCTGGGAACACATGAGCAATATAAATTTGCCCCAAAAGTTCATCTGTTAACCATTGTATTGGCACCATCATTTCTTTCCTCCAAGTTCAATCTAACAGAAAGTTATAAACTCTGACTTTTCATCTTCCAGAAATACCAGCTTTCTTTTTAGAAGGGAAATAAAAAGAGAGAAAAAAAGAAATAGTAAGACAGACATGGGAACACAGTTGACTAAAAATGAAGCTTTATCTTCAACACTTAACTGTAAAACTGGGGCTAAATAACTTCATTTTAATAGCTTTATTTTTACTTGCAAAAATACACACCAGATAAACAGAATATTCCAGTAGCATAAGTACATTTCTTCTTAGTACAAAATCTTGCTTGTCTATTCTCTACTCACTTTTATGACACTGTAACTAGAAACTTTCAAAAAACTTCATTACAAACATAAAAAGAAGCTACTGGAACCTAGAAAATGCCTCTTTTCCTTTTGTGCTTTCTCAAATCTCAGAATCATTGGTCTGAATGTAGTCTTCCTCTAAATCTCACCAGTCATTTAGGCAGTCAGGAAGGGAGAGCTTGAGGCTTGTTTCAATGAGGAAAACTATTAGAAGAATAAGGGTTGGAGGGTGGGCCAAAGAAAGCAATGATTTTTCCTCTGGGGTCATAGCCAAATAAGGTTAATGGAAATTTGAGATAGGTTGGATTCTCTTCAGGTCAAAGCGTGGGTACAAATTCCACTTTGGATATTAAAAATTGTACTGGCCTATGACATCTCACAGTGAACTGTTCCATTGTACAGGTTCTTACATTATTGATCAGCCCTGTTCTCTCACTGAATTCTTCTAATGTAGAATACAGCTGATGTCTCAAAAAAGTTATCCTGATGTCCTTGGAGCAGCAGCAAATTTAAAGGAATATTGTAAATAATAAAAGAATTCAACTACTAAATTAAAACCCTCTCATGTTTAACATTTAAGCTTGATTCTCATGTTTGCAGAAAACTCAGCTCTCACATAGATGTCCAAGAACTAGGAAGAGAGCATCCCACAAAAGAGAGGACAAGTAAGACATTAAAGGAGCCAGGAGCTCTTGATGTAAAAGAGTTTAAGAGAACTGAGTCTGTTTAGCCTGGAGACAAGAAAACGAAGGTGATTTAAGTTCTGTTTTCCACCATTCAAATTTGATACAGAAGAGTCAGACTTTCTCAGAGGCCAGCAACAGAAGCATGAGAGGCAACACACAAAGGTTGCAAAAGGAGGATTTGGACTGGATATAAGGGAAAATTCTTCACCGTAAAAGAATTAAGGACTGGAGGACGAGCACTGAGAGGCTGCAGCCTCCATTCTTTAAGATTTCAGAACTCAACTAGACAAGGCATCTGAACACCATGAAGTCAGCTCTGCTTTTATCAGAGATTCTTCCCAACTGAAAATCTTTTTATGATTCTACAATTATATTGAACATCATGGGGTTTAAGCCAATTTAATAAATTTGAGTAAAGGAAAGTGATTTAAAGTTTATGAATGACTGAAAATGGTAGGAGAAATCAAATGGGTTAGCATTTTAACTAATACATGCTGGAATCTAAAAAGCACAGTCAGATTTACTTTATTCTGTTTCAAATGAAATTAAATGGAGAGACAGAGGAAGCACCACAATATGAAGAAAATGAATTATTAGGAATCTTCTAAATATTATCCATCTATTCTTCACTGCCACTTTGCAGTGGGACTGCAAATAGGACTTTAGTTTTCCTGGTTTAATTAAAGAATTTTGAGATAAGTGACATATGTCACTTGTATCTAAAATGCCAGTGCAAACAATAAGATGACATTACCAGAACTCCTTTAGGATTCTGTTACAAGGTCACATCCTGTCACTTTATACAAATATTATTCCTCTGTAAAGGAATTGGAATGTGAATGATTAATTGCAGACTAAGGACCAGAATCATATGCAGCCTTTTTAGAAAGAAACAACAAAAAGAAAGAAAGGAAAATCAAGACATTCTGTATAATAACTGCTTTTAGACACGTTTGTTGCAACTATGGAAACTTCAAAGTCCTGAAGTAAAAGACTAAGAAACATTTGCTCTTAACACAATGGCTGCTTTGATAGATTTAGAACTTTAGAATGATGTGCTTAATAACTAGGTTTTAATTAAAAAGGTTGAATGGCTCAACTGAAAAAAATGATGTATTGAAGTATTTTGCTTAGGAATGTTACTAAAATCCTGTTCTACAAATCAAAATAAAGTATAATAAAAGAAAACAGATCAGCATTTGACAGAAAATACACTTTGATAGGCTAGCATCTATAACTGTAAGAGAGCTGGAGTAAAATGTTTTGCACAATGAGGAGTTGTATCCATTACAATCTTCAATCTCTTCAAAAGATAGAGTATTGAGCAGAGTGCCATTTGGAGCACAAACCTGGGCAGCACTTCAAACCTACTAAATAAGTACTTATTAGTGGCTTCTTTAATGGCTCCTTGTGTTAATTTATTAAGCTGTTAGTTGTTTTGCAAGTTGCTAGGCATTTTCAGTAAAACAAAATATGTAAACCAGAGGCACTTATGAGGCTAAAATATAACTTAAACATTTTATTAATTCTGACAATATAAAATAATTGCAATCTTTTTTTTTCAGTAACATTTGATACACAGGTCAAAATTAGCTTAATGTTTACGAGCCTTATCCTACACTTCTTAATCAAGGACAGTTTTTATTGTGCTATCAACAGGAAACTTTCCTCCTAGTAAAAATCAGAGGATTAATATGCCAAATAAGTTTAAGATTCTAATCTCAGTCAGTGGGGGAGAAATAAAATGTTTTACAGCTGCCACTGTCCCTAGTTATACTTTTAAAGGAGGAAGCATGGGGTTTTTACCTTCACTGCCCTTTTAGGTGTCTCAGCCAAAATGGGAGGAAGTATTCCTTTGTAGAAGCCAAGTAATCTATTGAAGAAAAAAAAAGAAATTATTTTCGTATGGATAAAAAATACATCAATACCATACTGCCAGTTCTATTTCACTTTTGACTAAAGCACTTAAACTTTCAGCATTTCCAGGCATTCAGACAAATAATGATACTCTATGCTTACTTGCTAAACAACTAATGTACTACCAAATATATCATGTGCTGGTGAGATGATAGAAGGAAATCAGCAATAAATACATAAAAATTCAATCAACCTTTTTCTGAAATACAAGAAATTCTATTTAAAAGGTGAGGGACATTTTTGACAATGAAAAAGAAGTATTATTTCATTGTTTTAATTTGTTTACCACAGCAATGTTTACATCAGAAATTTAAGTCACAAAATCACAAAATATAGGGTTGTAAAAAACTGTGACTTCAGCAAGTTGCATACAAAAACACTTCTTGCTCATCTTCAGATGCTAGCTGAGACATATTTTGAAGTTTAGTTTTAAACATGTCTCAAAATGTATTAAGTTTTTTTCTTTTAGCAACTTAGTTTTAACACAAGTTACCCATTCAGAGATCCATGACAGAATTACGTATTTCATCTGGGAAAAAACATTTGGGCAGTACCTTGTCACTGTATCTATATGTATGTGTGTATCTATATCTCTATATCTATCTATCCACAACTTGCTGCATGCCAGCACACATGGCATTTTCAGGCAGCCTGAGCTCTGCTTATAAGGCCAGTGTAGATACACAATGCTGGGTCTTGGGAATGCTTTAAATGACAAGTAGTTTTCAAAATCCCCACATGGGGTAGAAATAGACACAGTCCTTGTCTGCTAGGTCTGCACACTAACCTGGATAGTGCATGGTGAGAGCTCAGAAAGGAATTTAATGGAATCATCAAGAAGAATCATAGAATGATCACCACCTCCAGGGATGGTGACTCCACCACTTTTCTGGGCAAACTATTCCAATGCCTGACCACCTTAACAATGAAGAAGAAAGTTTTTCAATATCCAATTTGTGTTGTTCCTGTCTTAGCTTAAGGTCGTAAGTTATCTTGTTAGCCAACAAGAATATATCCTACAATTTGTCCATCTTCAGAATGTATACACATTTATTCAGGACTGTAAGAGGATTCTGTCTACACACACAAAAAAATTACCTAAAGTAAAGCATTTGTGTTTTTAAAAATGTTGAAAGGTGGTGATGTTGGAATGTGATGATTCGCCTTTCTAAAGCAGCCTCATATTTGAAATATTTTTGCAGAGTCTGTAAGACATCAATAGATTCTCCTACAGTTGATCTCTACATGTCAAAAGATAACAATGAAATTCATATTCCCCATGTGAATTTAAAATACTACAAATACTATACCATTTTGCCCATCCTTCTTCAAACACTTCTTAGGAGTTCTCTGCTTGGGCTTCTCCAACATAAATAAAGTAATTTAGGACTTGTAATATGCTCTGGGTTGGGCATATCCTTACTCTGAAGAAAGCAATGTTTGAGCTCCAGTCCACAATAAAAGGACACTTTGAGCATTTAACATAATGATGGCTTAATGACAAAATACTGAAAAGTAGGAGATTAAGGAATTCAGTGGTCATCAGATGTTTAAATTTTTCCAAAGTCTTACTTCCCAAACATAAACATACAAATATACATTTATGTATCTATTAATATAGATATGGATATACCTACAGATACTTATAGTTATGGATATAACAATATAAATATAATGAATCCATAGAATCATACAATCATAGATACACAGAATGGTTTGGTTGGAAGGGACCTTAAAATAATTTAGTTCCAACCTGCCTGCCATAAGCAGGGAATCTTCCACTAGACCAGGTTACTCTGAGCCCCATCCAGCCTGGCCTTGGTCTTTATTCTTAGTGCTGGGCCCATTTTAGTCTTTAATGGTTCATACATATGCAGAACATATCACTTATTCACCAAGCAATTTAAATGTGAAATACCTTAAAGAAGGCGATTCATACATTTTAATGTGAGTTCAAACTGAAACTGAGGTCCAAGTAGGATCAGCTACAAGAACACAGATCCCTGTAAACACTTCTTTCCTTTCAGCTCAGTCTAAACCCCTGCAAGCATATCTACAACAGGCATCCTGCTTGCAATTTCTACTCCTCCACATGATTGGAATTGGAGAATTAATGTCCTCCACTGCTTTACTCGCTGGTGTAGCTCACACTACAAAAACTGAGACTCGGTCTGGATTTTTTTCATTAGTAGGAGATGCCTAAGCAGAGAAATATGGAGTATAGAATAACAAATAAGTTTAAAAAATATGCTGCAGCATTACCCAGCCTCGCACTGCACAACAGGTTCCTTTTCCAGGTTGCGTTTTTGTATATTCAAAATGAATGCAGCTATTGGATATATAAGCCTTGTAACATTTCCACAATCTCTGGGGATCTTAGAGAAAACTTTTCAGAGAGAATGTAGAAAGGATATACCAGGAATCTGAGCAGTAAATTTGTCATCTTAGCAATATTGTAAGGCAGGTAGCAGCTCCTAAAGAGCAATCCAGCATTAAACCACAAGTCAACATTGAAACACCAATGATTCAGGCCACCATTAGACCAGGCAGTGGATTATTTGAAAGTTCTAAAGAAATGGGAACTAAAAATATGAAAAGCAATTATCCATTGCTTCTGAATCACAGAAAAGCTGATGATGAAAGGGACCTCTCGAGATGATCTGACCCAACCCTTTGCTCAGGAAGGGCAACCTAGAGCCAGTTGTCCAGGACATGTCCAGACAGCTTCTGAGTATCTCCAAAGAATGACTACCCTTAAAGGAAGGAGATACTTCAAATTCTCTGGGCAGCCTGTGCCAGTGCTTAGTTACCCACATAGTAAAAATGAACACATTCCTGATGTTCATACGGACCCCCTTGTGCTTCACTTTATGTCCATTGCCTCTGGTCCTGTCACTGAGACCTTTCCTTTAGGTACTTCCAGATTCCCCTCTGAGCCTTCTCTCCTCCAGGCAGTTCTGCATCTCCCAGTCTTTTCTCATGTGAAAGGTGCTCCAGTCCTTTAATAATTTTAGTTGTCCTTCAACTGAACTCTTTATGTTACGTCCATGTCTTCTGTTCTCATCACTGAACTTCAGGCAGAGCTCCACGCACTGCTGTTGTCTTCCTGGCCAGCCCTTCCTGAGCAGCCTGTATCCCTCCACAGCAGCACTCGGTGCATTCCCTGCATCCCTGGGATCCTGATGAGATCCTACCCCTGCAGCTGCACACAGGTCTCCAGTTCCTCATGTTTGTGTCCCATGTTGTGTGCCCTGGTGTGCAGGCTCCTCACAGAAACTTCCTCACTCACATGCAAATGTTTGAGGTGGCCCCAGCTGAGCCCTGTTTATTCCCATTGTGTTCCTCGTGGTTCACTTTGCTTGGCTTTGCTTTGCTTGGCTCCATCGCTCCCTCAGAGCTGCTGTAACTTCCCCCTCTCTCAGGGCTCCTGATTTGAAGTCCTCTTTTAAGGACTATACCAGGAGCAGCCACACTGCAGCAGAGATAGGTGTGCAAAGATACCACTGTGCACCTAATGTCAGGCTGATCTGCTTATTGTAAGGCTGACACTGAAGACTTCCTGCTGAAGGAACCTCTACTGTGAACCAGGAGAATCTGCAGAGCTGAGTAATCATATTCATGGCTCTATGAATCCCTAAAATGTGAAGGATTTCATAGCCACATAAGTGGCTTTCACTGCTTTGCTCCTCCTTCCTCTTTGGAAGCAAATCTCTTCATGGAAAACAGACAAGAAGGAGTTAAGGTCTATTCCTATGGAACACATTAAGTTTAGAAATCTAAAAACACATGAAACTTTGAGGATATACATCCATATATGCAATATGTAATTCAGTAAACATGGTAAGAGCTAGCTCAGTATTTAATTATGAGCTGTGGTTTAGGGTTTTTTTCCCTTCCTGATTTGAAATAGAAACAGAAAAAAGGTTAGTAAGCACAGCCAGTAAGATGAAAGGAATAAATGAAAAGAGGAAGTAGAAGACAATGCCATCCCATCACTGCCTATTGTCAACTGACTAATTTTTTGCATAAAGTGTAGTCGCTTTTAGAACCTCCTGTGCCTGAGGTGGAGGACAAGCAGCTGCCCACAACTTTTACAAATAACATTTTACAAATTGTACCCATTAAAGAGAGTTATTTCAATCTTTGCAGAATGAACCATTTACTTAATTAAAAAAACTAGCATGATAGTAACAAAAACGTAACTGGCTTTTGCTAGTCAAAAAGTACACACACACACACACACACACACACACACACACACACACACACAGAACAATCTTATCCTTCTGCTTTGCTTGGCCAATTGAGTTTAGCCTATTTGTTCACAGCGTATGAAATTTTTTCAAATTTTTTCAATGAACAATGATGACATTTCACATTTGAGAGATATTATCACCTGGACTCAAGCCTCCTTCAAAAAACTAGTGTTCAGAAAGATTATGAAACAGCAGCAACAGCAATCACTGCAGGGTCTGATAGAAGAAAGAGGAGATGACATCATATCCCCAGCTAGAGACACTGGAAAGAACAAATAAATTTCTAACAGAAACACAGCTACATCTTATTTTGTTTCAGCATTAAGGGTCTAAATTAACATCACCATTCAATTGTATTCTGGGCAAGAGCCCAAACTCATCTTTGCAGCAGTTGATTTTGAAACATTACAGTCAATCACATCTTCTCAATTTGTTCTTGCAGGCTTTCCCTATCCTTCTGGTTTCCATTTCTTGTTTGGAAGCCTTGAGTCATTCACCCTGGCAAGACGACCAACCTAAATCAGTTATTTTCTCCGAATTATACTGAAATTGCGATCTTGCTTAGCTTGTTGTTTTCTTCCTCTGCCTTTCACATAATTTTCCCTTTAAGGATCTAATAAAGCTGATTGAAGGCATAAGCACAATATTCCCTTTCTTTTGGTGCTGTCAAACCCAAGGCATTTACCCACATTGTTTTATA